TCAGTGTCTGTAAATTCAGAAAACCTAGAACCACTTTTCGTAGGAGCAATGCGTGTCTCAGTCCAAACCAAGTTCTCTCAAAGTCGCTAGATAATTTATTCCCCAGAGAATACTCATTAGTGTTGTGAAATTGATGTTGTTTATGAAGAGACAATTGCATTACTGGTAAATTAGATTTCAATTCTCCTGCATAAACGTACTATACAGTTTGCCCATTTCCTTTCATATATTATACATTCCATAAAAGACATATATGTCTTAACTAGTGGGTTTTTCCCCCTCATTTCCAATCACTTGAAATTACTTTAAAGGTTTGTTTGATAAAAGATGAAGAAATTCAGTCCTAGTGGAATACTGGCAGTTTCGGACCAGCACATCCACTAATATATGTGCCACAAGATCCAGCAGGCTTATGTCCTCAGACATACTACCTTCAGTTATGAATTCAACCTCAATTGCTTTGATGGGAGCTACTACAGATGCATAGTATCTCCAGTTTAACTACAGTAGTTTTTTGAAAAAGGAAAACAGAGGAGTTATTGTAACTTGACACAACAGCTAATTGCAGATCCATAGCAGGTCAAAGACAGCAAAAGCAAAGTGCATCTTTTGACAAACCTGCCTCCCTTTCAGTCATGGAGAACACTGACTCAAGGTTGCCGAAGTTTTTTTTCCCCTTATACTTTGCTTTTACATATACTCAAACTAGCTAGTTTCGTAAATTACCAAATTCTACAGTGTTAAGACACAGGTCTGATAACTTGGTCAACAGAGGGGAATAAAAACCTCTACAGCGTGGTCTTGTGTGATAGTGGACAGTATCCATTTCAGCATCTTATAAAAAAGAAATGCAAGAAAGCGTAGTTCAATCTTATCTTTAATATATTTCAAGAGGAATATATTTTTCATGGAATTGCTATGTTAAACCACAAACTACTCACAAAGAAGATTAATTATGAGCATCACCATAAGAAACTACTTTAAACTGTGCAACCAACATCATAATTGTAGAGATGATCTCAGAAGAGTCAATGCAATTCATGCTCTACATTCAACCAGAATGCAACTTCTGTGGAAAATTTACCAGAAATAGGAATAAAATGGCAAATTTAATTATTTCTTTCTTTTGTGATGAGCTATTTTTGCATAAAGCTGATGATCTATTTCCATCTTATGTATTATAAAAGTGTTTTTAAAAAGAAAAATTGAACTGTAAATTTAGTGTGATATTTTGAACAGAAGCAGTATTTTATGCTATTTAGTATGATCTAATGTTTGGCCACTGAACAGATGTCATTCTAGCTACTAGAATTCATAAATATTAAAGCTCTCAAAGTTAAACTATGAATTCCATTTTATTAACTACATTTGAAAAGAATTATGTAATTAATGACTTAAGAATCATAATAGGCCCATCCTTGCCAAGTACGAAAGGGAAGAATTCAATTAAACTACTGAGTATTTCATTATACACAGGTGACTTTCAGTCTGTAGCATGATGAACGATCAAAACAGACAGTCAGTGTCACAACATACTAAGTGCTTCAGTGTCAAAAGAGGAACACTTGCTTTTTTTCTCTCCTCTCATCTGGCAAGACCAACAGGCAGGAGAGGAGAGGTAAAGCATGGATGACTTATGTTAATACTAACACATACAATGGTCTTCCTTCCAATCAGTTGCAGTTATTAGCCCACACACCGGCATTCCAACAACTTGCCATCATCACTGTAGTAACAGTGCCAAGCACTGGTGCACCAGAAAATGCTTAAGAGAGGGAGAAGGGGAAAAAAGGGGGGGGGGAGGAGAAGTAGTAGTAAATTCTCAATATCTTGCACTGACTGTCTGTTGTTCCGTCAAACAGATTTGTACCTTGGGGGGAGTAGGGGTCTAAGTCACAATATGGGAACATGAGGGAACATGACAGCATTTAAATGTAGAAACAATAACTATTTCGTACTGTATACAAAGGTACTAATGTTTAAGTCTGCATAAAGCGAACTGATAAATGACTGCTGCGTAAAACTGAAAACACAGAAAGAAATGTCTTATACAATTGTGTTTCTAACTTAAGGCACAAATTTTATTTTTTCAGTCTCAAAGAGTTGAGGGGAGGTGTGGAAGCCTTTTGTATGAACATAGCAAGGGCATGCATAGTGGAATCGAGGAACACCCTGTTTGCTAAAGAAAAAAATCCCTCAAATGCTAGCATCCGCTCAGTAATTTTGTTTCGTTAGGGAACCATGGCAGATTATTTTTTACACCCAAAGAACAAAGTCATTCATTCTCAGCCATGCAGCAGATGAATTACGCTGAGGAAGAACAAAGTCTGGAAAAAGCTGCAGACCATAATACTGTGGGGAGAAAGGGTTGCTGTGTGGAACAATCTGTTATGCCCATACCTAAGCAGACAGAGCAGAGCAGCAGCCTCCAAAGCCTTTACATCAAAACATTGTTATAAAGAGGGGAAAAAAAAAAAAAAGTCACAAACATTTTAACTTCAGTCATTGCCTACTGCCTTTTGAGTATATCCAGCTTCACGAAAGGCTTTTTTGTAAAAGCTGAAAATACACACTGCAATGGACCAAACCTTGTCGTTTTTACAAGCCTCAAACAATAGCTGAAAACATGACATTTTATTCTCTGTCCTTGCCACTAAAGAACTAACTTTTCAGGGCATGAAAATACAGGGTTGACAGGAAGAAAAAGAAATAGGATACTATCCATCCTCCTTCTCCCCCCTCATTTTAGATTTCAACCAAGTCAGGTTATATACAGTAGCATGACAGAAAACCGTAAATTCTTGTAGTCCTCTCTCCACCACTCACTCTCTTCAATCTCCTTTTGCTTTTATCCTGCCAGTCCCCCTCTCACTGACACATTCCCTCTTATTTTATCCACTGCCTGTCACACCTCATATTCTACTTCACTAATCTGCTCATCGTCAAATGCAAAATACACAGGGCAGGGTGCAGGTGGAATTTTGGTCCAACAAATGGTTAAGTAAAAAAAGGACTGAAAAAGGAAACTGTAACTATATAAAAATTGCATAAATTGGCAAACACTGAGAAAGAGCCACTTTTAATCCTCAAGAACCAGAGGACATCAGCTTCCCTTCTTTTCTCCAGTTTGGCAACAATATTCTTGCACTTAAACGAATAAAAATGGCTTTCTACCCTGCGTGACTAAAAGCTGAGCATCACCTCATCCGTAATGCAAGAGGAAGGCCTGAAAGTTGTCTGCTGTATTACCCCTTTTAAATAACATTGCTGGAACTTACTATGAGTTGGCACCAGGAAGCCAAGTCAGAAAACAAAGTTAGGACTGACTGGAAGAGGGCAGAAAATCCTGAACAGTTAATACTTTATACTGGTCATTCTTTAAGTCTACGGCAGGAAACTATTTACCTAATAATTTGCCAAGGCTTTTTTATTTAAAAGTAGTTCAAAATATTATGCCCCGAGTTAACCACTAGTATTATGCTGTACTACTGTGACTTTATATTGCTGTGCAATGTTCATAGAAGATAAATTTACTCCAGTGATTCAACAGTATTTTATTCTGTAATTGGTAAGAAATTAACTGCTTGATTTATAACATGCTTAAGTTACAACAAAAACTGGTACCTTAAAGTTCTTTAAAAAACCCATAAAATTCAGCTAGTTGTGTGTAGCTGGTGCACTCAAACAGAACTGTTTCCAGAACTTCACTGTCTTCTTTCACTGCTCTGAACATAAATATTTTTTAATGCATGGATGGTACTTTTCACTTATTTGTTCTTAGGAACTAATGGAAAAATATGCTGAATCGTATGGCACATTAATGCCTACCCACACTTCTCTTATGTGACCTACTGCATTGTTGGAATTAACGCCAAGACAGTGACCCTCGTCCCTCTTCTGAAATACACAGTATAGAGAAACCTGTGCTAGCCCTTAAAGACAGCAAGCCCCAAAACCTTTACTAGCACATCAGCATGCCTGACAATTTATTCTGGGAAGTTCTAGTCTAATATAGCTCTTATGCCACACGTACTCAAGTGTGCTGGATCACAGGTAACAGTATTTTTATTTCGTCTCAGTTTTCAGAGCATATACACTACATACGTTAACTGTGAGGAATAAGAAAAACTCTAGATCAATAATCTATCCAAGCTCCAGCCTAATAAACTTAAGGTTGATCTACACAGGCTTTTATGGAAGCGCCCAGAAGACAACAAACTCTCATTTCTAATCTACAAATCCAGGTGCACCGTAATATTCTGCAGCAGGAAACGTCTCCATCCTCTTCCCCCATTTAAAACTGAAATAAGCATATTCAAAAAATAAAAGATGTGAAGAAAAATTTCTAATCTACCAAATCTGTCTGTAAGCTAACGTTGAGGAAAAAAGACTAAGTGTTTGTTTAGAAATCAGAGTATCTTTAATTAAATTCTTATTGCAACCTTGAAACCTTTTTAGGCTAACTTGTAGCACAAAGAACAGGTTTATTTTAACATGCAGCTCTACAACTGCCTTAAAATGATAAGAGATTGCTGGGATGCTGAAGAATCAAGTCCTATTGATCTGACTTAATGTGCAGATCACCACTGCTGACACAAAGGAGACAACAAACATGGCTGGGGAAACACTGACCTTTAATTTAAATACATATAGAACACTTAAAACACAACTGACATATACCATTCGCAGACAAATGGCTTATGAGGAGGGAGGGAATTGTATCAGCCTAATTATGCCAGAGCAAGAGTGTGTCTGTCTGTGTGCATGCATGAAAAAAAGGAAAGTTTAGAATATTAAGCATATCTTCCTGTGCACAAGATCCTTTCTTACATAGTTGCATAGTTTTCTTTTCCCTTAGAGGTAAAAACAGAAAAGACAGAAAGCAAACCACTGAAATTAGTGACAGAAACATGAAAGAAACACGGAGTTTCTCCTCTAAATGTCAACAATAATATTTTCATTGAAGGGTTATCAGCTTCATTTACACCAGAGTGCCATACCTGTTGAAGTTAATGTCTGGATAACTAGAATACTCAGACTTCATCTTCGCATTGCGACGTGGAAAAGTACAGAAGAAAGCATTGGCTAGAAAACTAGCAATCTGTTCCTGTGACATTGTGATGGAGTGATTCATCTTTTGTTTCAGTAGAGGTATTGGCTACCAACAAAAGAAGTGAGGGGGAGGGAGGGGCAGGAGAGAAGGGAGGGAAGGGGAGAGAAAAATAATTAGCTTACGCATTTTAAAAGAAAAAACAGGAGCACAAAATTACATTTGTTAAATTAGAGCAAGAGTAATTTAGGCCATTGGTGAACCCTTTAATCAGCAGCACCATTAAAGTCAAGAACAGTTTATTCAAGACAATTTGGGAAAAGCTTGCTTGACAAACTGCAGATTTCTAATCAATAATAAAAAGAAAGACCAAGAAAACACAACTTATCAAACAAAACCACGGGGAATGGAGAGGGGGAAAAATAGTTGGGATGTTGCAAATCCTGGTCAATCTTAAAAACTGAAGTAAAAACCCACTTTCAATAGCTGTATAGTTAAGAACCCTTAAGGACTGCTTTCAGCTACAATAACCATGCTTTATATTTTACAAAGAAATGTGGAAGTCATGCCACAGAGCATCACTCCATGGCCTGCTTTGAATTTTTTTCTATCCTACTTGAAGAAATAACACTGATAATATTTGCAGGAAGTGCATGATTATCCATTCTTTTAGAATCAGAATGAACAAAAAGCTCAGCTTCACTTTGGTCTTCAGTTTGGAGTTTTATTTGACTCTAGTCAGGGTTTCTTTAATATAAAAAGAAACAAAGGGGCAGAGGAAACCAAAAAAACCTGAAGTGTTATACATCTTCCATTTTATCAGGCTTTAGCCTCCTGATTTGGAATTTTCGCTCACCACATTCACGGCTTTTTTTTTTAAATTACGTGATAATACTGGGGGGGGGGGGGGGGGGGGGGGAGAGGAAATGGGGGGGGGTGGGGGGGCAAGGATATAATTCCAACTGCTAAGGAGTCCAGTAACAATTACAATAAACCCACTTAACAGGAGAAAGAGAATAGAGTTTTCACCTCTTCTTCCAATATTCTCAGCCATCATCATTAGCCTAGCTCCAGGAGAGCTGAGCAGCTACAGTTTAATCCTTTTAGTTGTGAATACAGAAACTGCTACTAATTTAGACTGTTGAATACACAGCCCTGTTTACTCCACAAAACAAATAAGTTTTCCTTCATTCTTATAACTACTACAGTCATGTTCACTGAATCTCATTCTGTCTTTTGGCTATTTAATTAACAAGCTATATTATGATGTCTGAAGTCACACAGCTAGAGGGGGGAAAAAAGCCTAAGAAGCTCTCCCTAGTAAGTTCTACAAGCCTATAAAAATAGGATATTTTGGACAGTGTGTTATATTAGAACAAATTTAGCTTTATGTCTAAACAAAAAGAGTCTGACAAAGTTTTTCACAATTTACACTGCCTAGCAGTACATCATCTTTATGAAAGGCATTACTACATGAACTTGCAAGTCTTGTACTTGACGTTGTGTTCATAAACTTCACAGCATTCTCAAAAACCTCCCCATCAAGTGACTAGTAAAAAAATTTTTAAGAAATATTCATACTGTTTGACGTTATACATCTACTGTAGGACCCCTGCAGCATAACAAAGTAAAGGGAGATTTTCCCTGCTTCTGTGCAATAAAATCAATTTAGAAAACTGTAACAAAGGAGCCTACAAATTAGAGTTGTTACCTGAAAGGTAAGGAAAAGGAAAGTTGTGTCAACCTGAAAGGTTTCATGGTCATCTCATTTAAGAAAAGCAAGAAGCACTCCAGCATATAGAAAGGAAAGCATCACTGAAGTTCAGGATAAAAATATGACAGCGAGAAATATATTTTTACATTCTATTATATCATTATAGATGTGCATTGTCCGTTCTGTTCCCTAGGCCTCAGCTACATTCAACACAAAAACTATAGCTTTTATTAAGAACATAACGTGATCCTGATGTTTTGATCTTAGCCATTAGTTACAGTTTGCAGAAAAGTGGTCTGCCACAGAGCACTTAGCCAGCTCTGTTTACTTACCTGGGTGCAGATACTAGGGAGACAGAGTGCCAGCTTGACCATATCAGGAAGAATGGACTGGAACAAATGTTGAGCCTCTGCATCTTCAAGAACCTGTTAAAAAGAAAGGAAAAAAAGAAAAAGAAGGCTTTTTACCTCAGAAACAATGATTGTACGAAAAGTTTGTGAAAACAAGGACCCATTCAAAAGAAATGAGAGAAAAAAAATAGGTCCTATTAGCTTCATGCAAATCTGTAGCATTTTTCATGGTAGTACCTCACTGCATTTTACCTTGCAATAACCCACTAATTGAAATACAAAAACAATTTTCAAAAGCTGCAGTTGAGAAAACATGTCACCAAATGCCCTATAAAGGAACCTTGAATAAGTTATCATTTGACTCTTTCCAAAGCAATGAACCAAATTCTCAACTGGTAAAAATCACTACCTAACCACAAAAGTACTAGAACAACTTACTTAGTCAGGTCATAGTCCAAGACAAGGACCTGCGACATTCTCCTGTTACGGACGTAAGAAACACACTGCTGGGTCAGACCAGTGGTCCCTAGCAGCAGCAACAACAGGAAATGCTATGCAAGAAGAGCATGCAAGCCTGGGCACTTTCTGCTGCCCATCCCTACTATGTTCCCTCAAGAACTATAGCCGCTAGATTACATACGTTAAAGGGTGCAGCCTGCCTGGTCCCACACGCTGAAGTTGCAATCTCTTCAGTCTCTTCCTGTAAGACAGCTGATCCTATGACTATTTTAGCTGCCCCTCTCTACCTGCTCTAACATTCTTCCTGAGAAGGAGAGACCAGAATTGACAACGCTCAAAAAAATGGGCACACCAATGTTTCACAAAACTTCTCAAAGCTTTTATACTGAAGACCAAGTCACATCAAACCCTTCCTGTCCTATTCTCAATTCCCTTCCTGACACTGGCCCACTGTTGACATGTTTGGCTGCCAAAGCATATCAAGCTAATGCATTCAGAGACAGTCCAGGATCTCTCTTCTCAGTTGCAACTGCCAGTTCTGAGCTCAACATCACATACACAGTGTTTAGATCAACCCACCCACGCCCCCATTCATGTATCATACATCTATTTTTAAAAGGTGCAAAAGGTTCTTTATGGTGGGCAACGCTCTTCTAAGAAGAGCTAAGATAGGCACATGAATGGGAGGTTGTGAAAAGAAAAGCAACATAAAGCAGTGCGGCTGCACTGCTTTAAAGCGGCACAAAAGCATGCCATATTCTCAGAAGTCTCACATTCTGCCGTATGAACGGGCTGAAGTGAGATCAAGGAGAGAAGCACATTCTCCATCTTCCTGTGCAGTGGTGCAGTTTTTCCCCTGATCTAGGGATCCAGGCGCCAGATGTGACGGGCTGTTAGATTTGCATGCTGTGTTTAAGGCAAAAAGCATAGAGAACACACAACTTGCACTACAGCTGGGGAACAGAGCACAAAGGTCAAGTTCAGCCTTCTGCCCCCCTCTTTCCCCTACATCCTGGGAATTTGCATTTGAGACTACCTTCTACCAGTTTCTAGATTAAAATCATTAAAATTCTGGAACTGTGGCTTTAAAACTACAGAACATTATTTTTCAAGTAAAAGTGTTAGAAAATAATTGGATTTACTACCAATTTCATACAAAAACAATAGCAGACAGAATGGACAAAACAGCATCAAGGTATTATCAACTTTAGTCTCTGCAACACTTAAGACTAATTGTGAAATCACAGAAAGTGATCTTTTTAGTCATACAATCAAAGCATTGTCATTCACACTTCAATGGAAAGTTTCACACAGACTTCAGAATGTAAAAAAAGATACTGGCAATTTTCCTGAGAAGAGGAAAATACAGTGCCTCTGATTCAAAGCATACTGTTCCCCATAAACGCTAAGCTGAAAATATTGTTTGAAGGCTAACAACTTCTATTCTTCCAAGATCATTAAAATAACTATAGAAGTATCTCTGCTCTATTCCCTCCCATTCCAAGTGATATAAAGGGATAAGAGTACTCAGGAAGTTAAAAAACAAAGCACAAACAAATGCTCAAAGGACAAACAACAACTTATGGCAGGGAAGGGGGGGAAATAAAACAATCCCAATACCTACACAGTTACTTTGTACACATTATGTATGCTGCTCATGGAGACATACAAACAAGGTTTTAATTCAGTTTTAAATTGAAACAAGAACTTACAAAGAACAGCAAGCCTAGGAAACATGAAAATCATTTGATATTAATAGAGGAGGAATCCAAGTAATATACAAATTATTCCTAAAAGTCAACTTTTTTTTTTTTAAGGTTAAGAAATGAACCAGATGCATCTCTCTCTCTCACTCCTGTTGTTGGCTGCATAAGCACCTACATATTTACACAGTACAAGTCAGATATTGAAAATTATGACCTAACCTTTAACATCATCTGCTCTAGCAGGAAACTTTGCTCTGTTCTTAGGCACAATGTTTTTAAGTGCCATAAAGTAACAAAATGAGCATTTAAAGGCTGGAATTTCAGATCTCAGTACATGAAACCATAAAATGAATATGTAAGTTAAATCTATTCAAAGGATGACATTTAACCTCAGATGTCTACCAGGCTGTCAAATTCTGATATTCTCTCCCCTTCGGGTAACACTTCCTCTCTTTTAAAGTTGACATATAAATAGTGGCTGCTATGCTTTGCTGACTGCCACAGACTATACAGTATCACTTATCTGCTGACACATTATGGCACTGGACTTTGTCATAGCTGTCAAAACTTCAACCTTTTCTTTATGCTCCTTTGAAAGCAATATAATAATAGTAGGAGACAATTTCTTCCCAAAACAGAAGCAGGGCCAGCAATTTTACAGCTCGGCTCTGATACAAAATGCATAACTACAAAGTTCACTTCTTAAACTCTCAAATTCTACTTTTCCTTCTCCTTACCTTCCTAATGTTGTACAAGAACATGCTCTCCTCTCCACATTATTCCTATGCATGACTTTTACCAGACCTCCACTAATGAAAACCTCAAAATTTGGAGCTGTTAATGCCCAGCAGTGTTCTCATTGAACTTCAGACAGATTATTCTTACATGTAAATGACAAATAAGGTGCGTGGGGGTGTGTGTGTGTGAAAAGTGTTGGGTGCTACAAAAACCTTACTACATTTTCACAAGGTAAAGGACTCCACAACTTTAAAAAGATGATCATTGTGAGTGCTAAATTCACAGACCTTGCCAAGAAACTCCTAACTCTGCATTGTTCTCTACCCAAACCACCAAGCAGCCTAAGCATCCCTGTTTTGAATACTCCCCTATTTTGGCAAAGGTCTCCTAAATATTGCAGGGAAGCACATCAGTAGTTTTCAAGCTCAAACATAGTTTGTTTCTTCCCAGAAATGTTATAACTTGGCAAAATAGCTGCTGCAGTGAGTAATCTAAGAAGTTGTTCAACTGGAGGTGCTTTTTTTAAAAACAAAAAACCCCAAAAAACAACAAAACACAACACCCAAAACAAACAAACAAAAAAACCCTTTCTCCCGCTCCTCTCTAAAAATAACTCCTTGGGGAACTAGTCAGTCCTGTGCTTCCCATTCGTATCTTGAGACTATAAGCCATTACTGAACAGTGGCAGTAAGCCCTAAATATGTATCCTTCCTTGCTTTAAGTTTCTTAAAAAAAAAAAAAAAAAAAAAAGTAACTTGAGTCATGGCAATATCCATGCAATCATAACTTCCCCTTTCTGCCCATGGACTCTTCCTGTACAGATAACATTCCTATGAAGTTTCTATGAAAAAGAACAGCTGCAAACCCCTGGCTGCTTGGCCCTCATCCTCTTTTGACCACTAAACCCACATGCCACCACAGCTTTGTAGACCAACCACTGTCACTGCATATTCTCAGATACGCTCAGTGCAACACAGAGCCTGGTTTTATCTGTGACAGTCTTTTCAGACTTTGAAAGCAGCAAAAAAAGAACACTCAGTCATGGAAAGTAAAAGGATTCCAGGACGTGGAGTGCTGACACCACAGCTACATCTGACAGACATGCCACAATGCAAATGCCAACCTGGGAGAACCTAGCAACAGCACAGAGAATACCTGGTCACAGAATTGAATGAAGATTTATTTAGAAGGAAATTCTCTCCAGGAAGCAGTGACTTGCACTGATGTAAAATCCAGCATATTTAAACTCACGTTACATATTCTACTTATCTGTTCCTGCTTAAAGAGGGATGTGTCGTTCTATCTCCCCAAACACACACACGCACCCATCACATTTCACCAGTTCCCATGTTCATCTGATAATTTCCTGAGATCCTTCAGCTTGCTAACACTACAGGAAATAACTTGTGGGGGGTGGGGTGGGTAGTCTTCCTCTGCATTAATAAGTTGAACCAGCCTACCAAAAACTCATGCATTATTAGATGTTCTGCAGGGTGGGTGGTAGGTGAAACAGAACCAATTACATCCCTTGTCAACAGGCTACAAAGGCAGATACCAGTTGCAACTCTTCTCACTGAAAAAGCAGTAATATTCTAGTTAGTATGAACCTGTTCCAACAAGCACCTCACTTTGAAGTAAACTTCCTAGTACAGGAACGTCTGTATTGATTCAGTAATGTGCTTTTAACTGTGTACAATCTTTTTCAAGACTACAACAATGCAAAGATTGAGAAAGGACTGGATTTCCATTGTTAAAAAAATAACATTTGTTTTATAATCTAAGGAATTCTAAAATATGAAATGGTTGTCAACAACTTTTGATAAAGGAAAATACATCAAGTATCATAGCAATTTTGTTTTTAAACAATTGCTCAGTTTCTCCTTTCCTTATTATGCATACATGTCCTTTGCAGCATCCTTCAGGATTTGAAATAAAAACAAAAAATATATTGTTGGCTTTATACATAGTCCCCCGACCATGCAAAAAATTATTTAGGAATGAAATAAAAGCAGGGGTTATACCCTGAGGGAAAAGTATATGGAATCAGAGTTGCAAAGCATGACTTGCCTTTTGCCAAAGAAATCACTTGGCGATTTCATCAGTATTTGCACGGGAGTGACTGATTAAATGAACATGACTTAAGGCTCCAATTCATAAGATGCAAATGGTTCA